GAAATAAACAGAAAATGGTAAAAACTCCGCACTGAGTCAATATGCAGTGAAAGTCGGTCATATTGTTTATCGAAAAAACGTGAAAGGGATATGGCGCGATAAAAACTACCCGAAGCGAAAGATTACAGAAAATTTTTTGATGCAACACATAATTACATCTAGGCTTGTCAGCTTTCGTACCTACAGCTTAGGACATTTTCAGTATGCAACGACATTGTTGTTTAGACATAGAGATTTTCTACACTTTTAATACACAATCTCCAGATGGATATAGCTCGATCCAAAACGTTGGGAATAATTTCAATGAAATTTATGTCGAGTAAACCCTCCGAAGATTACGGCGATGAAAAACTTTCCACCCGAGTAAAGAAACCAAGTAATTTCTTAAAAACTTATATATATTAAATGCATATCCGTTTACCGATACCTCACAGCTGATAGGTTGTTCTTTGAATTTCGCTCGATTATATTCCGAAATAAAATTTTGGTGCCCGGAGCAGCTAAAATTAGAGGCTGCTACCGACCTAGCAAAAGGCATCCCACAAAATGTATTATATGCCTTTCGCGTCGTTATAATATATTCTACAAATGATTTATGTCGAGGAAGACACGTTACAGATCAAGTTTGTATAACTTCATTTCACATGTTTTACAAACAGTTGCTGAAGTGTTTGCGCGATACTGTAGGTCATCATGAGAGAAATCTCCTACGGGATGACATCGAACGGGAATTGAACTTTACATGAAGTGTCCGACGTTTCGAATCATAACTTTCTCGAAGGATGGAGGAAGTAAAATCTGGCATCGCCTGTCTCAAAGTCAAAGGCCTTGTCTCGTATTTTACTTACTCAGACGTACCAAAATAATTTGAAATATCGAAAATAACGTGAAAATTGAGCTTTCTTTTCTATGTGAAAAATTAACTCTATAGTCTTCTTGTTTCTTACAGGATTGCTCAGAATAAACAATTCATTACATAAATTAGCAACGTTTCGATTCATACTAGCACGTTGTGAACACAGTGATGAAAACAGACTGGATAAAAGTTAAATCGTTGAGGTCAAATTTCAGTCCTTACGAGGCCGAGCAGGTATTGATGTAGACAATCATTCATAAACAGCTGACGCCCAAATATTGCTCAGACCTATGCCTCTAAACTTGTTCAAACGTATGTTGGACTCCAAGAAGGGCGAGATAACAGGCAGACTAAATCCCGTATTAATCAGATTAGAATGCGAAAATGCTCGGCTCGAAAATGCGATAACTCATTCGTTGCCCGTTCCAAACTCGGTAGGGAAAGGAGGAGGGTTGGATACCGTGGC